TTTGGCCTCTTTTCGTAGCATGCAAAGTGCATGCCGATTTTCTCTCGTGATTGAGAGATAACCGGTCTCCTCTCGCTGACATGTGCTGTTGATTTTATATTGTGCCAGTAATCTAAAAAGCGATCGCTGTTTGCATAGTTGTTGTATTGCGCTACTGGCATGCTCACTAAAAAGGTGACGAGTGCAGCCCGTTGGAATTTTATTGACTCAACGGGTATGAAAATAATGATGACATTTTTGCAGGGTTATAAGAAGTTGCTCTTGAGACTTACTGTCTATAGTAAAGATCACTAATATTTTATAATACCGGTAGAGAACTTAGATGAAGGTCAGAAAGATGGGACCATCGGCATAAAACTACACAGTACTGAACACCACTGACGCGATCAGGACTGCCAGATCTAGGAAAACATCGTGAATTAGTGCGTCGCTGATGACACCTGATTAAAAGCACTATTTATACCCAAAGATTGGTAGGTATCAAGCAGGATCTTCAAATAAAATATAAACCAATATCCTCACAGCAATCTTGTAATATATAACTCATCCAAGAGCCAATTTTACTGCGTATTGTACTGCTTCCTTGATCCTGGTTGCCAGGAGAGCGCTATTTAAGCATGTCATGGTTCATGGTTTAAGTCATGGTTCCATGGTATTTAAGCATCAACGGTCTCAGATCCATCTCGCATCATTTTCTTTATTAGACTTATCTCGCGCATCATATTTCACGATCGGATATGCCTCTTTAATGTTACCGTTTAAACATCATATGCTTGCATCGGTTCTAGATCTTACGCAAATTTGAACATCTTAAATTAAGTAAGTATACATTTCTGAAAAGAAGGGAGTTTAGGTTTAAGCATTAAATGAATTTAATCCTCTAAGTTCTATAAGTCCATCTGTTCCATCCTACAAACCCGGGTGTGAAATTATCATTTCTCAGTCATTTACATAAAAATTTGCTTTATTCGATCACCTAAAATGTGATCAAACGTACGCAGTTCCGACCCTCAACAACTTTAACGCTTTGTACGCCGACCGGAACTTTCGATGGCAAAGGTGTCCCATTTCAAGAAGAATCGACCTCTTTCCATGCGAGTTAAGCCAATTATCTTGGTCACTTGATATCAAATCAACATTCAAAGTAGGAATGGTTGTTAGCAGCTTTCGCTACTGTTTTGACCAGAAGTGAACGGCGTCAGTTCGCTTTCCTCCGTTGGTTCGTCACTGCGGTTGTCAGACTATCAGCTGGCAAACCAAAAAATGAGAGACGTTTGGAGTGATGTTCAAATGACCGACAGAGATTTCGTTTGAAGAAAGGTAACGAACGCGATAGCGCGGAGAAAAGCCGACGAGGAAACAAAGAAAAATGGTGACGTGTGTGCTGAATTACACTTTGAAATAGTACTATGTTTGCGCAGGCGTTTTTTGTCAAATTCTTAAGCGGGAATGACTCCACATCATGAGTATAATGTCAAAAGGAACATAAAATAGTCCGGTCTTTGTCGGTTGAAAATAACTCTCTCAAAACAAGACTTTTCTTGAAATGATTCATTAGTTACTTAATTCCTTTCAGGGAGATTGTCTTCGGATATGGCTTACACCTCTACGTGGCGTTTTGAAATGAAACAGAGGATAAGTGCAGCAAATGTTTTTGGATAAACCGTAATCACGCTACGGAAACTCTGTAAGAGACTGAGGGTAGGCGAAGGTAAACATCTGCATAAGATAGGAGTTAACAGGAGTTTTATTTGTGTGAACTGATACTGTGAAATATAAAGGAACCGACAGCAGTTTTCACTGAATTTTCAGATTCTGTCTTTTAGTGTTTGATGAAACAGACCCAGAATTTTTCTTCGCCTTTGTCTATAAAATCTCTTTGATTCGTGATTTATTTGGACGTTAATCACTTTTGAATTGTTTCCATTTCAGGGTATGAATTGAATGGCGATATAATCGAGACACTGAACGCAAGTACTTTGAGTAAGTTAGTTTAAATAAAATTTTCAGGAAGGGCTGACTTACGTGGAAGTCAGAAAAACACTTGACTATACTTGATTAAAACGGTAACTATGTTGGAAGTATAAATTTTTGGATTTTAAAAAAGTCATTTGAACTATTTTACTGACATTGTAAACGATGCTGCCATGAGTTTAGTATTTATGACACAAAGAAACAACTTTATTCAAAAATTGGGGTAATAATTGTTAAACTCACACCTAAGTATTAGTATAATAATGAATATCAGATTTTTGATGGTGTAGATAGTATTGTAGCCGACCACGCATGTAGCAGATCAACAAGCATTTTATCGATAATGATCAGAGCTGCTGATCTTTGCCTGTTTGTTATTTTCTTTGATACCTATTTGTCATTCTGTGCTTCTCAAGATTTATTACGATAGAATTAACAGTTGTGTCATAATTTATGATATTAGTACCAGTTGAAACTGCGGCTGGCAAAGGGTCAAGATGCTTCAGTGCTCTGACTAATTAAACTGCAGAGCTTGTCATGAATCTTTCCTCAATGAGCTTTTCTCAATCCATATTTCCGAATTGTGAGATCATCGAAACAGTTCTCCAACGAAGACGGAACCAGCGTCAGAAAACAACGACGTGTGCAGTGATAAACGAGGAGAGGGCATTGCATCCTACGGACAGAAGGAATCAGTTCTGCACGTTGCGAATGTACACTCTTTGTGGTTTTTCTGCATTTGTTAGCATAGTAACACTCTGAATAATCCTACTTAGGCTTTCTTCGATAAGGTCCTTTTTTATGCCCTGAGTAAACATGTTAAGCACTATAGTTGCAGCATCTGTGGAATATTAGTTCAATCGATTTGCAAGCAGACTTTTAGAGGCACGGCTGTGAGAAAAGACAACTTGTACTTCACTGAGTCACTTAGAGTTATGAAACAGAAATAGACATTTATTTAGATAATGATATTTGTATCACATAGAGCTTCTTCAGCAGCTAGTTGACTGGCTGACGATACTCGACCGTTAATTGACAGCCAGTCATTTAATTGCTTTGTTATCTTGAGTAAAACCCTTTATGAAAGCTGAATCATGAAGGATATTCATGGTGGCTAAACTGCAAAATTTGCGTATATCGTGAAGTTCGAAACTGCCTTAATAACTATCATGCAACTGAAGACACTTAGGTTTGGCAATGACTTATCAAACAACATTCTTTCTTCAGATGCAGAAGCTAAAACTGACAATTACTAATACATGATAATCAGTGCGATGAAAAGTGACTGCTTGAAGACATCGACTTCACACGATTGTATTCCTTCTAGGTAACCAAGGAAAGAAATAAATTCCCTTCAGGTGATAATATAAGATGATAATCTGAACTCCAAGCCACGGAAGCCTGTCAAAGCACAGATTAGTCTTGCATGCACCATCACCAGATCCAAAATTTTTATCTTCCGATCTCTCGTTTGTTGCTTTTTCATGTTTGTTAAGCGTGGTACCTGAGATGAAAATATCTGTTTTTGTATGTGCAGTGATTATAAATATGAATTTGGCAAATGTACTTTATTCAGTTCACATTGTGTAACCATTTTTATTTCATTGCTACCAAAGGTCTGATATAAATGGCTCAGTCTGAAATTCAAAGCGACTGTAATCTATGGCTGGTAAAAATTTTTGTTACTCTTTTTGACTGTTCGTATAATGGTCAGCTAGAAAGCAGGATATGTCCAATGTCTATCGTTAGTCATCGGCTTCAAACGTTTGCACATGTTATTCATTTATTTTCTGGGGGATCGTGTTCCGAGCGCCCAAATTCGACAATAAACTGGATGTATAGTGATTTTTCCTTCTACGACTGCAAGAGAACATGGGCTGGCGATGTGAATCGCCTAAAAGATAACAGTAATTATAATCTGAGTTCCTTTGGACTGCAAACGTCCATTCGGTCGTCCAAGAACATGTTGGGATGAGGTGGAATCAGAGAGCTGAGAAGGATAATATTGTAGTTGAATCGTGGCGCACTCATAACACTGTTAAGTCGAATATAATATTCATTTGTATGCCCAACGTAGCCTCATTCTGTTATTCTTTGCTGAGCCATCATTTGTTCTACGTAAGATCGTTTATCCGTTATAGTGATAAGCTAAAGAAGCGTTGTAGTACTTCGTGTCGAAAATTAATTATCAGCGACGGATGTCAGCGAATTTACCGATATGAGATAGTCAACAGACCTACTGATTGTAGGACTACAACGTCACTCGATACTGCAACGTGATGTAAGCTTCTTTACGTTTCTTTGAAGCTTACCCTGGTACTCGTCCACCCATCAACGACGTAAACGTTAATGGCTTATAACAATAATGACAATTCACGACGCCGTAATTCACGACTTAAATGAGATCCAAAGCTAGTAGAATATACAGTTGCGTAGGAAGCTGCCGTCTGCTATTTCTTTTAACGGTCACGTTTAGCCCACCAGGATACCGATGGCTATAGTCAATGGACCTATTCGGTTGTGACCGAATAACTGCAGCCCACTTACTTAGATTAATTCTCTGTTCACAGAGGGTGCCACCTTCTACCTGACGCCGCAACTGTCTGTTCCCTTATGGTTTACCAATGGATGAAACTCTTGAAATTTCCAGTGACTTGCTTATGGCTGCATTAGACACAGATACATGTAAATACTCTGCAACATTAATAGCAGTATTCAGAAACTAAGACGGTAATTTTCACGATGTATTTCTTCGTTTTGCACTATATACGTTTCTGCATTCTGACGTTAAATAATTTAAAGAAACCGAAATTTTGATTAGTTTCCTTACAAACAGTTAGTAATGATTTTTGCGTGGTATTATTCGTCATACGTCTCATATGCAAGTTGCGGCCTCGGTGCCGCTGTCAATTAACTTACTATATATCCTCTTACTATCCTTGTTACGACTTGTTATTATGACCCTTGTTCCAAACCATAGTTAAAAGTTTCGGCCTTTCAAATGCTTCAAAATTGCCGCTTTCTAGCTCAACTGGGGATTGAAGATCCTCAGACGCAGTCGTACCTGTTGAAGGAGTTGGCTGCTCTGAAAAACGAAGAAAAGTCCAATACGTTTGGGAAGCGGATTAACAAACGAAGAACAAAGCTGTTTCCGCTCGTTTCTGAATTCCCAGCCAGCAACATCATGGCACTGACACTGCCAAAGTTTTTCAACTGCTGGGACATAACCGTCGCGTCTTCTCCTATCGATGGGAGCCTTAGAATTACGAATTGTCGGCGAGACGATTTGCCACTTCGAGTCGGAGACATGTAATGAAAGGCTTCGTGAGACTTTTTTCCGTATTTTTTTAACGTTGAAACTTATTGCCATCATCTGCACGAACTTATTGTGTAACAGAAAAAAATAAGGTAACATATGATCCCGATGTCTTACGGTAGCTGCCACATATGGCAATTTTCCAATTCTATCAGTATATATCGCATTTCAGTTATTGCTACCGGATTTACGCGGCTAAACCGTACCGCTTCCTTGTATCTTGTCGCCGGTGGGGATCGTTAAAGCAGGTCAAAGCTCCATGGCATTTAAGCACCTGCAGTGCATCAGGTCTAAGACTGCACATCTGAGTGGTGTTGGACAAGGGCATGTCCGTGCAACAACAAAAGTTTCCGCCATGCGCAGGCAAACGAATACACAGTATAATATGAAATTTAATATAACCCAGATATTGTCGAATAGCTATTACGAATAACAACTTTTCATTTAATATAGTTTTTTTGTTTTGGATGTTTAAAGAACAGTAGACCCTGATATCCCATTATATTCCATGATACAATTATATTCTCACCGGCTCGTCAGACAATACCACTGTCTGTTGTCAAATTTGTTCTGATATGGCCTTCATCGTACAGTTGGTTACATCGTAGGCAGCGCAAGGTTACATGGTGCCTGCTGCAGAATGATTGGCCTGATCCTACTTTGTCGAAGCATCGACAGAGGTCGAAACCACGTCCTCAACCCTCCTTCTTTCTAAACACCCCCCACCTAATGGGATCAGTTATGGCTGGGTTCAATAGTTATTTACCATTTGAAATTAAAACGATTTGAAATGATTAAGATCACTAATGATTGAAACATTTAAGACTTCAATTTCAGCGACAAAGAACGACGGATACACATCTTTATGCAGTCGGTTTCAACGTGGTTAAAAACTTTTGTAGTATTGCGTGTATATTCTGATTTTTATTGCATGTTAAACTCACCATCACATGGGACAGTTTTAAACGAAGCATTTTAGAATTATGGAATTGAACGACGCTTCCTGCGTTGGGCTTGCGGCCGTCGATTTTATCACAATGCTTCATGAGGAACAGATTCATCCACTTCGCTTGGTGATATTGAGACAAGATAGCAGTTCACCTCGGACGGAGAAGCGAGAGTCGCCCCCAACATTGAAATAACAGTAGCTGAACCTCCTGCTACTAGCGGTTGGCGAAGCCGATGCTACATCGCATAAGATGACTGTTGTTGAACTGCTGTTTCCTTAGGTTGTGAAACCGTATATGAATTTTTATGACTTCTTTCCAGCTTCATTAATTCGATGAGGGCTGTCTGTGATATTTTGCCTCATTCATTGCTGAGAATTCGTTCAGGAAAGACTATCGCTTGGCCATAAAGTTTTAGATACACTTTTCTTAGTTATCAGCGCCGTCAAAGTGCTTGCAGTTTTATACTGCATGTTTCTGATTTTATGCACAATATCAACTTATTCATCTGCCAACGTGTGTACGTCGCTATCCAGAGAGGTAATCACTTCACACCGGTGTGGCTTGAAACTGAATTTGCAGTTCAGTCCTAGATGGTAATACCTCGTCTTTACTGAATTATTACTATGCCTACCCCTAAACTTAAGCCTCAGCATCTGTGCTTGCATGTTTACGTTTACGCCGTCGCTTTGATGTAGGGTGACGCTTAAGCAGTAATGCGGTCAAAGCCACATATTTTTAATCATGCAAATTAATTTCTGTCTACCTCAATATGGATGGATTACCGCTCTGGTCGGTAACATACTTTTTCTTGTTAACTGCAGAACAGAAATTGAAGGACAATGGGCATCAGATCCAAAACAATAAAACTCGTATTGATGCGGTTCCGAGCAGTAATCCTATGACTGCTCCAACCTGGTTTCATAATGACGTCACCATACTGTCATGATGTTCTTTAAGTCATTTTCGCAGACAGCAATTTTGCACGTACATTGAGGCAAGCGCGTATTAACACTGTCAGGCGTATGAACCTATGTTCTGCGAGTGCGTGATTCTCAAAATATGCGTATACCTCCAATAACACGACGATAATCCCAAAATTCGTTATCATTGGTATCTGGTCTCCAAAGAAAACGTGATCAAGGATTAAGGGATGAGGAGGGTTGGACAGACAATGTTAGATTTGGAAAAAAAATTTGGAGAGCAGAGCGCAGTGATCTTTCGTTATGCATGCTGATCAAAGGTTCGGAATTATACCTTGTAGGTATAAAAATGTTTCCTCTTAATTACTCATGTATCACTGATTGTGGAACATCTTGTTTTCCCAGCCAGGAATGGATTGGTTCTAGGTATTTGGTCACGCACGATATACTGTATGTATATGCTCGTTAGAAAATTCTCCTTACCTTCTTATTTCTCTACGGTCTACAACTGACCTTTCGTCAGTAAACGAAAAATGAAAGATATGTAAACTAGTATGTGAAACTTATACAGGCTCGTATCTTTCAAAACATTGGGAAGGAGCACACCATCAGACTTAGTGAGCGCTGAGAGCCGATAGCGAGGCAATTATGTCTAAATTAAAAATCTCACCGATGGTGTATGTGACGTAGCCAACAATGAAGGAACGGCCGGGAACGAAACGGCGCAGAAAACTGGCGTGATTAGCAACTTCTTAAGCAATCGCAGCATCATTGTCATTGTCACAGTCAATGCCCTGGTTGATCATTTTACTCTCACTTCCTAGCGAACATTTTAACAAATATATCTATGTAAGTTTTCGAAATATTCAGCTTGATGCAGACAATAGTTTCAATAGCCACATTTAAAAGACGGCAATAGACTGCTGCTGGAGTAACTTGTGCTTAAATGAGCGAATGACTTCCAAAGTATGAAGATCGAAACTTCGTTTGAAAAAAGCCTTAAGCCTGGTTAAAGACTTGAGATTGGAATAACTGAGGAAGAATATATAGCCTAGCAATTTGAACAAAAATTTTAAACCAAAAACTAACAGGGTTAGATCAGGGACACAGAAAAAATGACA